CAGGAATGCTGCTGGAAAGAGAGTTGTGTCCTGGAAAATGGGTACAAAGGGCCTGGGAACTGCTTCATCCCAACCTCCAGCACCAGGAGGAAGACCTCGGTGGGGGGATTTGCCTCTCCTTGAGGGATCTGAAGAAACAAGTTACTGCTAGAAGCAAGTCTTGATATGGCGAGACCATTTCTTTCCCAGTGAGGGGGCAATGCACAGTGCAGCCCATGGGGGATAAAACGTGAGATCCTCGCGGTGATTGCTCAAGCTAAGACAGGACTGCCGTAAACGTCTGTGAAGTACCACGGAGGAATGCTGGAGAGGGGAGGAATTACAGCTACCTAAATGAGTGTCCAGCTACAGCCTTTGAACAGCCTCCCAACTGATACCTTTCCGTGGTTTCTGCTTTGTTAGGGAGTTAGTCTACAACATCACTGTGGATGCACTCCTGACGACTGGAGGACATTTGGCTGGCCACGCCAACCGAGGCTGTGCTGCACCAGCGCCACTTCTGAGGAACCTGGCTGGGAGGGAAGGTGGGAAATGGCAGATGATGCAGAGAGGTATCAAATCAGATAAGACTAAAAGTAGAGGTGCGCCAAGTATCTTTAAACTCCATTTTCCCCTTCTGATACCTTCCTCCAACCACTGCTTACAAGTCTGTCAAAAATGCATTAGCAAAGCTGCCATAGGGAGAAAAGAAATGGCTGAACAGCAGCTAGCCAGCAGAGCGGTCAGCTCTAGAGCCAGAGTCCAGTCCCACCTGTGAAGAGGCATATCCAGCACTGCATTGGAGGTCCAGGTTCACCTGGACCTGATCCCTGATCAATGCTTGTCATCCTGTTTTTAGGGTGCTGGCAAGCTGCAGAGCATGACAGGTGGAGGGGGAGAGCGTCTAAGGATGGAAGGAACTCCAAGAGAGAAGAACCAAGCATGAAGTTCAGAGAACATCCAATGTCCACATTTCCCTGCTTGGCTCCCATGACCTGCAGCTACCCTGGCTCCACGGCAGACCAAGAACTGCTCCCACAGGTGCTGAGCAAGACCTAGTCTTCCACCAAGGCAGCCAGGAGACATCTCTAGTGCTCTGGGCTCTGGGGTGGCCATCAGAGGTGGCACTAATGCTTTGTAGCTGATGTGGATCCTCCTCACTGAGGGCTAATGTCCAGCTGCAGTTACAGTTTGCCATCGTGCTGGGCTTGGCGCTGGTGTGTGCATTGTCATGCTCAGTGCAGGAGGGCAACAAGGCCCTGGAAGAGTCCAAGGGGTAGAGAGATCTGGACACTAGTAGAGCAAGTCACCCTGATGCTATGCTTCAGAGAACTCAAAGCCTTGGGGCCTTGGCAAAAGAAGGGACCCGCCTCCAAGAATGTGGACCAAGGCGCTAAGAGACACAGGTCAGGCTCTCCTGTTGTCACCGAGGAGCTGTGGGGTGAGCAGGTCCCTAGCATCCTGAGCTTGGGTGATTTGTGTGGTTGGGGGAACAATGCAGCCCATCTGATTTTGCAGGAGAGAAGGGGGGAAGCTTTCAGGAGGCCCTGGACAAAGCCCCGTGCAGCCATACAGCCCTGAGTGCCGCTGCATGTCCTGGAATAACCTTGGGACATGTAGGCAGAGTCAAGGACGGGAAGGCAGGACTCCTGCTCTGGGCTGGATTGCCAAAGACTGAGCATTGGCTGCCCACAGGGTTATTGCTGCTCTACAGAGTGTGCAGGACCTGGCCCTGAGGGTGCTACAGCCGGGTGCAGTGACTACAGATCTCATGTGACGGTGGAGTAGGGTTAAGCTACACTTCTCATCTGGCTCCATGGCCAACAACCCAACACCAGCTCTTTCTCCCTGAAACCTCCCAGGATGGCAGTTTTTGAGCAGATTGCACATCACAACCCAATAGACAAGAATACGAGGACGCTATCAGTTGGCAAGTAGCAGCAGGTTCCCGGAGGGTCAGTGGGGCTCAGACAGTCTCAAGCCTTCAAAGAGCTGGGGGGGGGGGGGGGGGGGGGGGGGGGAGTCACAGTACTGCTGGCTATACTAAAAGTGTTTGCAGTCCGAGTGTTGTCCAGATTAAGTGCTGAGAAGGCATCACCAACAACATACGAGGCTATTCACAGAATATATGCAGAGGGGGGGGGGGGGGGGGTGTGTGTGTCCGGGAGATGCATGCCAGCACGAGGGATGTTGTACTTACCTGTACTCCAGGCTCATGCACTCGAAGAGCCGGGTGAGGGTCGGGTCAATGCTCCGGGGATCAGCCGGTTCGGGCTCGGTGCGGTGGTGGCGCCGGCGGGGCAGTGAGTCACTGTGCGGGGACGACACCATGAAGTGGCCACTGTGGATGACCTGGGAGGGGTTCTGCGCCCCAGCACCCGGTCCTGTGCCACCCGTAGCCGCGTCCTCGGAGTCGGAGTCGGAGTCAGAGACAGGGCATGGCCCAACCGGCGGCTTTGGGAAAGGTCCCGGGAGCCCCACCTGAGCTTCTGCCATCAGCTGGCACCGGCTGGGGAGCTTTATCAGCCTGCCCCAGTGCTGTGGTCCACGTCCTGGTTGTGCCGGAGCCCTACGGTTGCTGCGTTGGCATTGAGCACATGCCGTTGGGCTCCTCAGGACAGGACACCCACACAACACCTCCTCCTCAGCGCCGCTTGCACCACTCCAGACCACGCCGTCTCCTCCACGCGACGAGGTTCAGCTTTCGGTTTGCCGGGGCAGCTCGCCGTCAGTCCTATTTATAGCGGTGGCAGCTGGTCCCGCCCATGGTGCACCGTCAGCCAGGCCACAGCGCCCTGCCACCAGCCACTGGCCACCATCCTGCTCTTGCAATGCGCCTGGCGGCCCTGGCTTTTATTTCCCCTGCAAACCTGGGGAGGAGCGGCTGTGGGTCCCCTGTCCCCCCTCACCCACGGCCATGGGTTGGCTGGCAGTCGGCTCTGTTTACCCAGGGTTAATCGCTGCTCCCAGCGCCCCGGCGGGGAGAGGAGCGGGTGGTATTTACCTAGTGCCTCTGCCCTAATGTATCTCCCTGCACTTCCAAGGGAACAAATACAGATTAAGGGACACAAACAGGTAAAATTATAGCAACGGGCACCCAGCTCGGCACAAAGCACGCCGAGTCACTGAGCCGTGCGCCAAGCTGAGAAACAGCCCAGGCAAAAGCCTGCTCCAAGGTGTTACCCAGCAGGAGGGGGGATGCAAACGCCAAATGCAAGAGAAGAAAACCATGAGCTCAGGTGAGGTGGGATTTACACACCTTGTAGTCATGCAGTCCTTAAGATGGGTTACCTTCTCCTCCGAGGTGCCCTGAGAGAGGCAGGCAGGCAGGGCTCGCCACGCCAGCCCCCTCCCCTGCTCCGTCCCAGCTGATCTTTGATAAATACTGAGAGCTCTTGCCAGGGCTCAGCACGTGCCATGCCAGCCAGACCTGTGTCCCAAGCATCTCCTCACTGACCTGAGCCTCAGGGGGATGAAGTGGATATAATTTCAGGCTTAAATCACTTATTTTCTCTCTAGTTTCTGGCAACTTCTTCCCCAGCTCCACAGCCCGGCACAAGCACACGCGCCTGGAGAGCACCCAGGCACAGCTTTTAGGCACCTCTGATGAAAACATGGGATGAATGGTGGCATAAAGCTAACATAGATGGCTGCAGGCATCTGAACTTCAATCCGGCTTGCAGGTGGAGCAGAGCACCCTCCATACCACACAGGTGGGTCCCATTGGTGCTCCGGAGGGGTGAGCAGCCATCCAGGGTATTTTTCAGAGCTGGAAGAAGAAGATGCACAAATAGCTGTTTTGGATAGTTTTCACATTGATCGGTGCAAACCTCACTTAGGAACCATTTCGTCATTTTTCAGCCAGATTTGCATTGCGCCGTAGCTCTCTTTTCCCCCTCTGTGATTCATGACAACCATGTCAGCCTGTCCCAAGCTGCCTGTCAAGATGCTGAAGAGAGAAGTACTTGCAAAAGTACTGTCTGCAGACATTTTAAAGAAATAATGGGCATGTGGGTGTCCTGGGAATCTAAGAATTAGGCAAGCCACAAGAGAAACAAAGATATCGGAGATATGCAGGCTTTCTGGGCTGTGCTGCGCAAAAGGGACTTTCCAGGTTTTTGCCCAGGATCATTTGCCATCTGTTGACCAGCTGCAGGCAGACTTTGGTCCTCTAGGACAACATATGTCTGAGGGAAGTGGAGGAAAAACATCAGTGAGGCTTTTAGGGACATCATAACTCCCTCATCCCTGGTCCAGCAGCTCTTGTGCTGCCGAGGAGGGAAATCTCATGGGCAAAGGGCTCCCAGCCTGGGGAAGGGGGTGACGGATCCTGCAGAGGAACCTTCCCCAGCAGACCGTGGACCGGAGCAGGGGTCCCACACAGGAACAGGCTGCAGTGCTGAGGGATTTTGTAACTGGCTGTTTGGATCCTAAAACGTGCAATGCCAGGTATAGCCATATGGATGCAACACAGTCCCGGAGAGAGCACAGCAAGGGAGTTGTGGTCCTGAGTGCAACGCGAGACGGATGTCCCAAAGGTGTCCCAAAATGCGCACTGTCACATGGGAGGTTAGAGATCAGAGTCCCCAGAGCAATTTTCCAAAATGATCCCAACGCCATGCACAGAGGCAGAGAGAAACAGCCTCTGTGTCTGGGAGGAGAACGGTGTTGGGACAGAGAGGTCAGATTTATTAGTAGCTGAAGAAACTGGGAGTCGATGGGATCTGCACAAGCACAGAAATCTCCATTTGACCCAGACAGAGCCGGGACGCCAGCATGTGCAGTCACACCAGTGGTGGATGGGGATGGCTTGGACCCAAACCTGAAGGGTATTCAACAGATGTAGAGGAGCACACAGCTCCCAGCTTGGTCCCTCAAGATGGGGATCCTTTGAAGTCCTAAAAATTTAAAATCCTAAAAAAAAAAAGAACTAGGACTGAAACTGCTAGCATTGCTACCAAGAATAAGGTAGAGAGGAGAAATATATTGTGAAAACTTCATTATCAACCAAGCAGCAAAGCTGGTGGCCTGAATATGTCATGTTCAGGGAGACCAGAGAAACTGTATGGGTAGAAACAGTGGGAAGCATCCACTGAGAGCTTGTTAAAAGGAGGTTAAAAGGAGCAAGCAAAAGGCTAAACTGTAGGGAGGGCATTTACAGACATTGCGGTTAAGGTCTGGAATAAATATAATCAACTTAACCACAGCCAGATACTGAGGGGCTCAAAAGAGCCAGCAGGGACACCAAACAGGGGAGAGGAGACTACTGGATGCCATTCAGAAGGTGGAAATCACCTTCAAAGAACAAGAAAAATAGAAAGCATTATGAATTTGAGCAAGTGCAATGTAAAACCACAAAAGGTAGGCCAAAAGTAATTTTACCGAGCAATTCGAGAAAGACAAAAACTAATATTAAAACCTTGTTCGCAGCGATCAGAAAGCCTGCCAGAGCGTCTGTAGGCTCTGTAGAAGATGCCCCAGGGATGCTGAGGGAGGAGGGCAGAGGGAGGAGCACTGCATGACTTCACCGCGGTGCTGGCGGTGGGGAGCCTGCCGTGGCAAGGCCGCTGGGCCACGGGAGCAACGGTGCGGAGGGTTTCCACCTCCGAGCTCTTGTGAGGCTGGTGGCAGGAATTAAAATTGAGAAGTCAGCAGAAAGAAGTCGCAGACCTCACCCATCAGATGAATAGCTCCAGACCTCCAGGGCCAGAGACCATCGCCCGGGCGCCCTCGCCAAACTCCACCGGGACATTTCTGATCTGCTGACAGCAGACTGTGACCTGTTACTTGCCTGCCAAGGGAGTGGAGGTGGCACAGATTGTGTCTGTTTTTGAAAGGCTCAGTCACTTATCTAAGTATCTCCAGAGTTAGAGGTCTCATTTCTGCACCTAGCAAAGTGGTAGAAATTGTAATAAACACGGAACTCATGGATAAATACAATAACTTGAGAAAGAATCATTACAGCTTTTTAGAGGAAAGTCATGGCTCAGAAATCTGTTACAGTTGTTGGAAAGAGAGGCGGTGTACGTGGACAACAGTGATCCGATCAATATAATGTAATCCAAAAAAGCTTTTAAAAAGATCTATCACACAGTTTTCAAAGACACTGAGCTCTAGCAGATCAATAGCTTGCAAAGCTGGGAAGCAAAGGTAAGACTAATTGGTAAATTTTCACAATACAGAGAGATTGCCTATTGGATGCTACAAGTATCTGTACTGGGGCTGGATTTTTCAGTATATTCATAAGTGATGGAGAAAAAGCAGTAAATAGCACAGTGACAACATTTTCTGGTGGAGAAAATAGTTCAGAACAGTCATATCTAAAGGTGGCTGCAGAAAGCTGCAGAAGGATTTCAGGCTGCAGAGTGAGTGGGTGGTAAAACGGCGAAGGAAATTCAGTGTTGATAAGGAGAAAGTGAAATACATCCCTAACTGCAGGCAGTGGTGGACGCTAAATGAGCTATTACCGATCAAGAGGCCGATCTGAGGGTAACTGTAGGCAATTCTCTGAAAACATCAGCTGAAGGTTCAGGAGCAATTAAAAAGTAAAAAGGCTTTAGAAATGGCAAGAAAAGGAATGGGCTTTCAGCAGAAAACATCACTTGCCCCTGTATAAACCAGAGGGTGCTCACAGCTGTGTGCAGTTTTGGTGCCTGGCTCAGAAAAGATGTAGAAGAACTGGGAAAGGTCACAGAGATGAGGAAACGGAGTGATCAGAGGTGGGAATGGCATCCCTGCAAGAAAAGGCTAAATAGACCAGGACTGCCCATGTTAGAAAAGAGATGAATGAGGTGCAAGTGCTAGGGATGCAGACACTGATGCAGTGGGAACAGAGAGCAGTTAGAGAATGGTTACTCAGCACTTTTCACAACGCAAGAGCTAGGGGCACCCAGCAAAGGAACGGCCAGCAAGTTCATCTCAGTCTAAATGGACTCAACAAGGAGTTAGATAAACTGATGGAAGACTGGAACTGTTAAAATTCGTGGTCCATGCACTCTGCGCATCCAGAGAAAAGCTCACTCATGGGAACTCAGGATGCAGGTACAAACTCACCCTCAGCCTCCCGTTGCATGGACAGGAGTTGGTGAGCATAGGCTGAGACCTTCCAAACCCTCAGGGTGAGAGGCATCTCCAGCTCGTCATAACCATCTGTGCTGACCATGGAGATCTGTTCCACAGGCCCATGCAAGAATCTGCACGGAAAGTCTGCACTTTCCTTCTTTGGCTGCAGATACATAAAAGATCTGCAAAAAAAGCAAATTATATCTGTCTATCATTCCCTTTTTTCCTGTAGAAGCTACGCAACCTGCCCTCTGTCTCACCCAGGACATGAACAAATAACGGTGCTGTGGAGGCTGTAGTCCCGCAGAGCTTCTCCCACCCTTCGCTGCCACACTGGAGAGAGGTGGACGCCTGGGACAAGCAGCGAGGTGCTCCTCCATCTCCTGCTTTGACTGCTGTAGTGCTGCCTCTCCCTGCCAGCAACCCGCTCCCCCCCCTCCCCTCCCAATACAGTAGTAGCAGAAGATAGCCTAGGATCTGTATTCCTGAACCCCATCATCCCTGCTTGTGCAAGCTCACCTCATGTCCTAGAAGATGATTCTGAGGCCCACATTTTCCCTCAGGAAGCAGATGAAATTCCTGTAAGTAGGCTCCATCCCAGACACCAAATGGTGACCAACTGGATTAAAGCTAAAGGATTGGACTGCAGGATGCTGGCACATGGAACGTGGATGCAGTCCAACTAGCAGTGCCTGCAGTGGTTCTTGCTTTGCAGGGGTGGGTGAAAGAGATGGTGCCATGCTGGTGGTCTTGCCAGATTTCCCATGGGGTCACTGGCTCTGCTTCATCAAGCAGTTGAAGAATGAAGGAAGAGACTGAAATGTCTTGTCATGGGCTCACTGTACCCACTTCCCTCTGGAGCTGAGGCTCTTCACCAGGAGCTGGCATGGCCATCCCTTAATTTGTGGGAACACCCAAGCCCTCCTCAGTGCTGCTGCGTGAGGCCACAGGTGGTGGCAGGAGGGAAAACCTGACAAAGGCGTTGCTGAGATGCAGTCCTACCTCAGAGGCCGAAGATCCCTAAGTGATGGCAAGTTCCAGTGTCATGATGGCCCGGTCGTCTGCAGCCTTGCTGCAAAAACGTTCATTTGGGAAGGCTGGATCTCCAAATCGCTGCAGCAGAAGCCACGCACACCCCAGACGGCTCAGAACCAGATACGACATGCCTGTTGCCTGTTTCTTAGGATTTTCTGTCATCAAAAAAATGTCAACAACTATCCCAGAAGCCATTATCATCCCAGAGCTCAATTAGTAGAGGTTGGAGGAGGTGGAAGCAGGAGGTACTGGTGCAGTTTTGCCACCTGGCCTGCACCCTGTTGGCTCGGTGCTGTGTTACAGGGGTCAGGTTTAAGGCTTTAATCTTATGCCACGCTCCAAAGTCACTGAAGGCTCCAGGTGCCAAGGCAAGCTCTCCTTTGGTGTGGCCAAGTGCCACGCACGTGAGAAGGTCACCTCACATGATCTTTGCACATCACCAGAAAGGGCTCGGGGGCTGCTTGGGAAACGCGTGGCTATAGGATCCAGATAAAGCACA